AGCCTGAATAGACAGTCAGTCTATGAAAACACAGATGTCCTGCTTTAATTCAGTTTCTGACGAATGGAACTGGGACGAATGGCCTGAAGCATAAACAAACTAAGCGGGGGGCCCCAAAAATGAATGACCAGGCCCATGGTCCGTTTTTTTTTTTATATGTTTTTTAATTTATATAAATAACTTAAACAAGTGATATAAATGAATAAATGAATGAATATCAATTAAGAAATGAAAAATTCAAAATAATAAAATTCTGATTTGTCCACAACTGCTCATGCACATGAAAAAAAAAATATATATATAAAAAAAAAGTGTGAGAGATAAGGGTTTTTTGTATATGGATATGTATGGATATATGTGTACGTATATGTAGATAGAGATATGTGTATACTGTCTATAGTTATGTGGGTGTGTATGTATATGCATGTATGTGTGCATGTGTTTGAGATACGGGTGTATGTGTAAGTATGTATGTGTGTATATATATGTATAGGTATCTATGAGTATATATATGTATGTATGTATGTGTGTGTGTGTATATATATAGATATGTATGTATGCTTAAACATAGGTAGATGTTAATATAGAACAGGGGTAGGATTTAATAAGTTTTATTACTTCTTCCTACTCCTTTTCGAACATGATGGTATGTACATATGTTTTTTGTTTTTTTTCTTTTTTGTTTTGTTTTGTTATGACTTCATTAATTTACTTATATTTGCTTTTTATTAAGTGTTCAAAATAAATAAATGATCAACATTCTCTTCGCAACGGCAGCCGCGATGGCGCAGACAGCACGCGGTATGTGCGTGTCCATTGACAATTCACACTGGCGTGCATCCGTCGCGTTAATAAGAAAGTCTAAGCCATGTCACAAAAAAGAATGTATCCCTCTTGTGCCGAAAAAAGAAAAGGAAAGAGGAAGAGAAAAAAATAGCAAGATAAAGGTATGTTTGCATGATTATTTACTGACCGGTATATTTTGTGCAGCAGCAGCACATATTGTGCTCACGTCACTTAAGGTAACAGCTAGCTTGTCGTCATAACTCGTGTGGTGATATTTATCAACCATCCATCACCATTAACAGTGAAATATTACCCGTTATTAATATACATTTATTTAGGTAGGTGTGTATTTTATGTGTTGATACATATCGGCGAGGGAGACCCAGCACATGTTGGAGAGACTATGTCTCTAGGCTGGCCTGGCCTGGAAATGCCTGCTTGGGATTTCCCAAGAGGTGAGGGACGTCCGGGCCTCGCTATTGAAGCTGCTACTCCCGCGGCCCAACCCCGTATAGGCGGAAGATAATAGATGGATGGCTAGATATCGGTTTAAGTTGAAGAAAACAGATGCCAGCTTAGCTAGCATTGCTGTTTGTGTTAAAGTGAATCTACTACCTTAATAGACAAAGCACATGCGCTCTCTGCTCTAAGATCTTTGGAGAGA